GCTTCGAGTTCGGACTGAAGTGGAAGGGGTGTTGACAGGAGGAGGGGGGAGGAGGAGGAAGAGGTGGCGGAGGTGGAGGAGGAAGAGGAGATCCATGGGGTCATTTTGGTTCAAGCCGCGCTTCATCGAGACCAGATGCGCTACACAGCTGATTTACATGTATTGTTCTGCGGCCCATCCCGCCAGCAGGCCATGGCCTGTTGGATGGCCTCGTGGGGGACCGGTTGCGCTTATTGGGGCCCTCGGGGGGCCTTTTGGCCATGAAGGTTCGGTCTTGAAGCTTCAAAGGAGTCGCATGACATATCATGTATGTCATTACCGTTCGGCTCAAGTTGTGCGCAGCTTGTTTGCCAGTTGCCAGATCGTGCCAGCGTGCTTCTACCATGTGCGGTGCTATCTGACGGAGAAGATGAGATTTCATTTGCTTGCGCATCAGCCAACACTCCAGAAGGGTGGGGGCTTGGGCTCAATCGAGCTCGCGCCCGCGTGCGGACAGGGCCCCGCCACCAGCGTATGACTTCATCAAGATGCACCAAGTCGTCACGTACGGCCCTGAAGACATGGTCGGCCTATGTGTCTTCCGTGGTGCTCGTCATCGTCATCGCGGCATTCGCGATCACCGACGGATTCACGGATTGCTCGACCATTCTCGCGAGTGCAATCTTTGTCCCTGTACCCCACGAAGTATTCCTAAGAGAGCTGTTTAACCTCCAGGTCGCCAGCAACAGCGGCCCAGATTTTCCAGTACGGCCGCTATGCGCACTGCTTCAGTCTCTCAAGCTACACCTACGAAACAATCCGTTTCTTCACTCCGATCTCCATCCACCACTCTACCAGAGCTGGCAGCGGCTTCTCCACCTCCGACCTGCTGGCTTAGACGAGTCCTCGGTCGATTTCTCCATCGACGGGGGAGGCGAGCACGTCCCCGGCTGAATCAACTGAGCCGCGGAGGGCAGGGCAGATACTCGCAGCCTCAGCTCACGCACAGCCCCTCGGCCTCGACGGCGTACCGTGGGAGTCGGCAGTGGACGACACGCTCGGCAAGTCCTCGAGGAGGAGATCGTCAATGAGGCGGGCGGCGGTGTCCCTACCATTTGGCATGGCCGTGATTCCCTCTCCGCATCACCGTGCAATCTGCGACCACCTGCGAATTCTACCCGTCGGCGCCGGGGTATCGGACCTCCCCGCTCGGGCTCACCTTGGCTGCAGACAGCCTTCGCATTCTGAACCCCAGCCGGCGCTTCAAAGATCCGACCTGCAGGGGTATGTTTCGCATGTGGTTGCTTAACTGACCACTGCCCCCACGATTCGTGTGCTCCTCCTGCATCGATTTTTTCGACGGCCCAGAGGACCGGCAAGGGCCCCCAGAGGCCGAAGCTACTGAAAAATCTCCCGTCGTGACGTTTGTCTCGACTCGAGGGGGCCACCATGTGCGACAAAGCCCCTCAGGCCCACCGGGCACCCAGACCCGCTCCTGCAGCGCAGCCGCCGCTGGTTTCGAGATCGCCGCCGTCCGCTCGTGAGGGCCCCCGACTAGGGCGCGGGACGGTCCCAGCCGAGGGGGGGCTTGGGAGCGGCACCGTGGAAGGGCTCTGAGATGGATTGGACTGCAGCGCGCGCGTGCTCGCGGATGGAGGGCGAGGAGGAGGGAGGAGGATGAGGCGGGAAGGAGGAGGTTGGTTGGTTGGTTGGTTGGTTGGTTGGATCCTTATCGGACTGACTGTGATTCCGCAGGCACGGCCTCTTTTAGCAGGGCTGCCGGGTGGTAGGCAACCCAGAGATGCTCTGGCCCAGCCCAGCCCCTGCCATCGCTCGAAGGCCTGAGAGGGGAGGAAGGACTCCCTAGGGCCTCCACTACGGCCACTCCCGCAGTGACCTCAGAGCGATTACCCCAGCGTGGGCCCTCGTGACGGCTGCTGGAGACGCCGGCTCTGGCTGGTTCCTGCAGGACGCAACGTGGAACCCCAACCCAGAGAACGCCCGCGCACCCCGCGGACCCAGGCCGACAACGGGCCCCGGGACCCCCGAGCAGCGAGGGGCACCCGCGAGCAACGAGGGGCACCAGGGGCGCATCAACAGCCTCCCAGGGCACGCCTGGGCTACCGCAGCCAGGGGCGCGAGGGGCGGGAGGGTCCAGGCGGGGGCCCGCAGAGCTCGACGCCCGTGGGCCCCGCCGGGCCCTGGCTCTCGGGGCGGGGCGAAGCACGACGCAGGTGCCAGCCTGTGCGAGGAGCCAGGCTACAGAGCTGTTCGGCACACCAATCGGACGAAGATCATCAGAAGCGCTAGTTGCAAGTATCTACATGTTTGAAATCGGTCTGCTACCAGAGCTGGAACCAAAAAACTATTCGTACTCCTGCTCCTCGTCCTCTTCCTTCTCCCGTGTGGTGACGAGGAGGACAGGGGGGAGATGGAATGCCAGAGGAGGGGGAGGGGGCAGGAGGGCCCAGCCGCTTGGGCAGGGGCGCCAGGCGACAGGGCCCGCGACGCCGACAACGACGACGACGACGACGAAGACGACGACGACGACGACGACGACGACGACGACGATGACGACGACGACGACGACGACGACGACGACGACGACGACGACGACGACGACGACGACGACGGTGGTGACGGGCGGCGCTCTGGCAGCACGGACGTCCACGCTGCGGGCCTCCATCCACTCCATCCTGGCTCTTGCTTCCCAGCCCACCCCAGCCCAACCCAGCCCCAAGGCGGCTGAGAGGGCAGGAGGGGTGGAGGAGGAGGGGAGAGAGCATGGACGGGGAGGATGGATGGCTGGGGGCTTCCTAGCCGCTCTGCGCCCAGACGCGATCCGTCCGGAACTCCGCCGCCTCTGCGGCCAGCAGCAGCACCTCTCGGTAGCCCGCTTGGCCCAGGCCGCAGCCCAGCAGGGCCGCCGCGCCCTCCCGGGACGAGGCTGCCGGCGGAGCGCCCCGGGCCTGCCAGAGCGCGGCCCGCTCTGGAAGCCGCGGCGGGCCGGGACGCGGAAGGACGGGCTGGGCTGCGTGGCGCCGCAGAGGGCGCACGACCTCCGAGCCCACGACCTCCGGCCCTGCACGCGGCCCAGCGACGGGACCCCCCCGCGCAGCCGTGCTAGAGAACGCGGCGCCGCCAGACGACCCCGCCCCCCAGGCTGCTGCCTTGGGGCGCCGCGGACGTCCCGGGGCCTCGCCGGCCGCAGCTCGGCGCAGGGCAGCGGGAGCACGTGCTGCGTGGCGGCGGCCGCCCGCTCGGCTAGCCACTGGGCGTCGACTCAGGCACGGATGTCTGCTCTGCAGGCTTCCAGCGTTCCCATTGTGGGAGATCGGCCACGCGGGGCAGTCTGGCAGGCAGGTCCCACTTTGTGAGGAGCTCCCGGGAGGCCATGGCCTACGTTCGGCCCATGCCCGCGTGCGATGAGAGGAAGACCTCCCGGTGCAGGTCTGCATCCGGGGTGGCCCAGAGGTACGCGCGCCGTGCAGCTACTTCCACTGTGGCAGTGCCCGATCCAGGTCGCGCCCCACCCAATTCGCCTGCGTCGACGTGTTGTCCGCGCCTGGGCGCTCGCGGGTCGCATCGTGTGCTGCGCCGCTGGCCTTGTCTACTGCCCAGAGCCACCTCCCGAAGCGGAGGCCTCCCTCGGCCTGGGCGTCAAAGAGTGCCAGTGGCATTTGCATGGTTTCCTTTCGTTGAGTGCCAATTTAGAGAGGATTGCAGTGGCCGAACATCATTGACCCAAGTTCGGTAAAATTTCGGCGCCTTCGTGTCAGATCGGTATATCCTCGTGGCGCCGGCTCACTTCTGGACTTCTTCTGAGCGTTTCGCGTCTTTCAGTTTGCGGATCCCCCGAAGCAGCCCCGAAGCAGCCTGACCGGAAACTTACTAAGTGCCACCGCGGCAGCCAGCGGAAGATCGCGTCTGGCGGCCAGGCCTGCAAGGGAAGCAACTTGGGAGGACGTTGCGCTGAGGCGTTGCGCACGGAGAGAGGCCATGTCAAGCTCCCCACGCCACGGGCGGCCCAGCCATGTGTGATGGGAGAGAGCGCGGGCATCCACGGAGGGGCGCCCCTGCATCTGCAAGACCAGCGGGGGGAGGACCCCCGCCGCCTGCACCGCGGCAGGCCCCCCCGAGACCAACACCGCATGCTTCGAGGCCTGCGTGTGGGGGCTGGTGCTGTGCCTCAAAGCCCATTCGGCCAAGTCTCGAGCATTGTCTGCGCCGCCCCGCGACTGGAGACCAGTCGAATAGGGCCATCGGCATGGAGCACTGCCACGAGGAGCTGTGGGGGGAGTGCGGGCCCAGGGCCTGCAGGGCGGAGGTCTCCAGATCCGCATATGCTGCGAAGCGGGCCGTCGACGGGAGCGGGCGCCCCAGGCGCAGGGCGACCTCCGCCTCCTGGACCCGCGGGGGAGCGCGAGTTGCTTGCGCCCAGCCGCTGCCTGCCCGTCCACTCCGCGGGCACTGGTACCCCCACGCCCACACCGTGCGGGCCCCTGGGCGAAGAGGAAGCGCGTCGGCTCCCCCATGAAGCACGGGAAGAGCAGCGGCGCAGGCGTGCCACTTTCAGCGATGCCTTCGGGCAGTGGTCCCACAAGCACGCCACTGAAGCTGACGTGCACCAGATCGAGCTCCAGCATGCTCCCCAGCAGAGCGTAGACCCCGTCCTAGAGGCCGACTTACCCCGACAGCGAGTTCAATTGGCTCCCGCCCACGTCTTCGGAAAGGGTTTTTGTAGGCCACCAATGGTAGCCCAAGCCAACCGCACCCTGCCCGATTACCAGGGCACAGATCTCGTGGAGGAGCAGCTGTGCGTCCGCGACGTTGCGAACGTATCCACTCTGTCTTTGGGTGACTGAGGCGCGGACGTCAGTTTTCAGGCGGCCGAGCTACAACCATTCTTGCAGAAGCCATTTTTTGCCGTTTACCATTCTGAGCCTGAAGCTTTCGCATTCGTCCGCTGTGCCCGACTTGTGGAGAGGAACGGCGCACGAGCCTCTCCAGCCGCGCGGCCG